TGGCCGGCAGCATCTCAGAACTCTGCAAGTTCATCTGCAAGTACTTGAACATTTAAGGTTTTTAGTATCGTTAGGTCTGGCTATTTGGTTCAGGTGCTAAGATAGGAACTTCAAATGTACCCATGTTTGAGAGCATACCGTCTTGAGAGTCCTCCAGGAAACAAATCCTGAAATGTAGATGTCTCTGTGTGTCACTGAGCCAATGTCTGCTGGACTTCTTCCTATCAGGAGAAATGGTAGTTGTGTTAGAGCACTACATTCAGGCCAGTACTGGCAAAGGTGAAGCCGTGGTGCAAATGCAAAGTTTTTTGTTAAAACACGAAGCGTCACAATGTAAACTAACTGTAACATCCAGACTGTTGACATAAACTGTTGAAATAATTTCCCCCAGGGATCAATAAAGTATTCTGATTCTGACTGCATTTGTAACCTTGGTATTTCATAATCCGGGTGCATCAGAATTTCTCTTTTCTGCCTGGAACTCGTCGACATTTGGGCCATCCGCTGCTCATCTTCATCATCATCACGACGTAGCAGACTTGGACTTCCAGCACCCTCCATACCTGGAAACATTACACACCCTATTTTACTATTTACCACCATATGTAAGTCTGAACATCATCTTTAGTGTTGCAGCCAAAACGTATTGTCCTTAGAGTCGTTCATTCACTCATTCCTCCTTTTTCTCAACATTTAAGAAAACAAGCTTTGACAGAAAACAAACCCGGCAGATGTGTGTGCTGCTGATCCTCTTTGTCTCCGGTCATGACCACCACCTCATGGATGTCCAGATCTGTGACAAGAGATTACTTTTGTCAGTCAGATCTGATCAGTTACTTCATGTATGGCCAAACACAATATTGCTATGAACAGCTGAAAGCAACATGTATTTTTAAAGAGCAGCTTTAAAGTTGGGATTTAGTCCTGTTTATCACTCAAATAACTGCAGACTGTGGAAAATCTGACATCCTAAATTCTTAAAACTGATAGAGCAGGCTTCATGTGAACTGTGAAAACTTCACCTTTATGTTTTATATGTAAGCTCATTTCCAACATTGAAAAATAAAAATTGCTGATCAAAGCCAAGTCCAAATTTCAAATCAGTATCTCAAAATTGCAAATAACTGTATATTATGAGTCAGTAAGTCAAAAATGTTTATAATCAACTCAAGTTTTGGGTTAATTAAAAATGTTGACAAGCCGACTTGAAAATGCAACTTACTTCTGAATAACTAGAAATTTCAGTTATATTCAATTCAATTTTATTTATTCAGTGTCAAATTACAACATTTGCCTCAAGGCGCTTTTTAATATATGAAAAAGACCCTACAATAATACATAGAAACCACAATAATCACACGCACTTTGGTGACAGTGGGGAGGGGAAAGCTGCAAGTTATTAAGTCAAAATTTAAGAAACACAAGTGAAAAGTTTGAGATTTAGTAGAATTAATTTTTCATTAGCTTCAGGGGGTGGGCTGCCCATAAAGTTAAAGGAACCCCAAAAGCGTTGATTGTCTCACATTATCCTGTGAAAGCTGACTAAACGCATGCCGACTTGTTAATCCATTTCTAAACAATTGTGCGGACATTTTCTTCTTGCACTGTGAAGTCACTATATTCACCAGCTAGCGAGGACATATTAAATGAGTCATTTTTAAATGAAGTTCGGAAAATCCGCCTCTGTCACTGACCTGTCCTCTCAAGCTTGACCCGAGGCTGCAGGAGCTCCAGCAGTCTCCTCTGCCGGTCGATCTCCTGCCTGAAGCCCGCAGCCTCCTCCTCATAGTCTGTTACAGTCCGCTCCACCACCGCTAAGATCTCCCGGGCGGCTGTGCTCAGTTTCTCAGTGATGATTCCTCTCAGTATGTCGCTCTTGGACATGTTAGCGACGCTGTCGGGGGACTCCGAGTTGCCGCTCTTCTCGAGATAAAACATGTGTGTGTTTTCACGGGTCCGTCTCAGAGGCGAACGATACTGACCGGACGGGGTTGTTATTGTGCTGTCGCAAAATGTGTCCGGGGAGAAACGTTATAAAGAAAGCAGACTGAAACACTGTATACACACATTTACTATAAAAAAAACAACCCGTCTGGAGCATAGACAGAATATATATAATAATAAATATATAATTAATATATATATATATAATAAATATAATGGAATATATATAAATAAATCATTCATGTAGCGAAAACATACAGGGAGTGCAGAATTATTAGGCAAGTTGTATTTTTGAGGAATAATTTTATTATTGAACAACAACCATGTTCTCAATGAACCCAAAAAACTCATTAATATCAAAGCTGAATGTTTTTGGAAGTAGTTTTTAGTTTGTTTTTAGTTTTAGCTATTTTAGGGGGATATCTGTGTGTGCAGGTGACTATTACTGTGCATAATTATTAGGCAACTTAACAAAAACAAATATATACCCATTTCAATTATTTATTTTTACCAGTGAAACCAATATAACATCTCCACATTCACAAATATACATTTCTGACATTCAAAAACAAAACAAAAACAAATCAGCGACCAATATAGCCACCTTTCTTTGCAAGGACACTCAAAAGCCTGCCATCCATGGATTCTGTCAGTGTTTTGATCTGTTCACCATCAACATTGCGTGCAGCAGCAACCACAGCCTCCCAGACACTGTTCAGAGAGGTGTACTGTTTTCCCTCCTTGTAAATCTCACATTTGATGATGGACCACAGGTTCTCAATGGGGTTCAGATCAGGTGAACAAGGAGGCCATGTCATTAGTTTTTCTTCTTTTATACCCTTTCTTGCCAGCCACGCTGTGGAGTACTTGGACGCGTGTGATGGAGCATTGTCCTGCATGAAAATCATGTTTTTCTTGAAGGATGCAGACTTCTTCCTGTACCACTGCTTGAAGAAGGTGTCTTCCAGAAACTGGCAGTAGGACTGGGAGTTGAGCTTGACTCCATCCTCAACCCGAAAAGGCCCCACAAGCTCATCTTTGATGATACCAGCCCAAACCAGTACTCCACCTCCACCTTGCTGGCGTCTGAGTCGGACTGGAGCTCTCTGCCCTTTACCAATCCAGCCACGGGCCCATCCATCTGGCCCATCAAGACTCACTCTCATTTCATCAGTCCATAAAACCTTAGAAAAATCAGTCTTGAGATATTTCTTGGCCCAGTCTTGACGTTTCAGCTTGTGTGTCTTGTTCAGTGGTGGTCGTCTTTCAGCCTTTCTTACCTTGGCCATGTCTCTGAGTATTGCACACCTTGTGCTTTTGGGCACTCCAGTGATGTTGCAGCTCTGAAATATGGCCAAACTGGTGGCAAGTGGCATCTTGGCAGCTGCACGCTTGACTTTTCTCAGTTCATGGGCAGTTATTTGGCGCCTTGGTTTTTCCACACGCTTCTTGCGACCCTGTTGACTATTTTGAATGAAACGCTTGATTGTTCGATGATCACGCTTCAGAAGCTTTGCAATTAGTGATGTGACGTTCTGTATCGAGGCTTCGAAGCTTGTGTCGAGTAATGGAGGGGGCGTTTCCGCGATGCGCGTATCGAGGCTTGCTTCATTTATGGGAGGAGCTGAAAATGATGACGTCCGAAGCCTCGCTGCCCGGCTGTACCACGTGACTGGTTCATGAAGTGGTTCGAACTTTGCCGCGAGATATGACAGCGATATAAACCCCTCAGACTTCATTCAAAATGTGGGTGTTTGATGGAGAGTTGCGGTTAGTGAGAGTTTGGAGACAGTTTGGAGGTTTATGAGAGTGAGGAGAGAAAGTCAGGAGAGAATGGAGCCAGCTAAGAAGAGGAGGATGTCCTCCCCTGTGTGGGAACATTTTGATCTTATTCCTCCCAACAAGGTATGTAAATTTCTACAGAAGATGTATTTTCATAATACTGATGGTGCAATAAAACTTATGTTAAGCTGTCTTACTTTTGTACAAGGTGAAGTGTTTGCTATGTGCCAGGGAGCTGGGATATAACAACAACACCTCATCCATGCTTAGGCACTACAGAGCTATGCATGAGAATAAGGGGAACACCGATTGTGGAGCAAGACCAGGTGAGCCATCAAATGCCATGATAATATAGCATGCTATAATGTTACTAAATGATATAACAATATCATACAATGCAATAAGTGACGTGAGTGATATTTATATTTGTGCTTTGTTTTTATTGTCTCTCCTCAGGAGAACAATCTCAAATAGATGAAGACCTGGTTAGCATGGTGATTGAGGACTCCCAGCCATTTAGCATTGTGGAGGACAAAGGATTCAAAAGATTTGTTAAATCATTAAATCCTAGCTATGTTCTCCCCACTAAAAAGGTCATAAAAGCAGTGAAAATTTAGTTTTTACAGAATAAAATGTGAACAGGCAGGACTGAGCCTCAGTGTGTAGCTGTCCATACCTCAACGTTACAAAAGCACAACCACTGTCCACACCCCAACCACACCTCACCTCACAGTAAATGATCATTTCCATTTTAAGCATTTCCAAATGATCATTTTCCATACTGCCAGTATAAATATACACAGTATACTGCCATCACTACAATATACATGTTTTACACACTCCTTTTGTTGTTGACATTTACAGGCTGTGTGCAAAAGGCCACACTCTTCAAATTCATGCCAACTAATATTTTTACGTCCAGTAGGTGTCCTACTAGAGCAAATGAAGCTTCAAGAAGCTTTGCGCTGGGGTGAACCAATTGGATGAAAAGCTTCAGTGCTTCATGAAGCTTTGCAATTTTGAGACTGCTGCATCCCTCTGCAAGATATCTCACTATTTTTGACTTTTCTGAGCCTGTCAAGTCCTTCTTTTGACCCATTTTGCCAAAGGAAAGGACGTTGCCTAATAATTATGCACACCTGATATAGGGTGTTGATGTCATTAGACCACACCCCTTCTCATTACAGAGATGCACATCACCTAATATGCTTAATTGGTAGTAGGCTTTCGAGCCTATACAGCTTGGAGTAAGACAACATGCATGAAGAGGATGATGTGGACAAAATACTCATTTGCCTAATAATTCTGCACTCCCTGTATATATATACTTTTTTTTCATTCCACTAAGATCCTCAGTTTGAATCCACTGGCTGACTTGGCATGCTTGCATCGCTGTCGTGTTGTACAAACCCTTCTGAGAGGATTTGAACTTTGTGACATACTGAATAAACATAGTACTAAACATAGTACTGCATAGTAAATAAACATAGTACTAAACATAGTACTGCATAGTAAATAAACATAGTACTGCAGATGGCCCTTTATGCAGTCAGTGTGTAAACAATGAACTAAGATAAACAGGAAATGTAAAACAATGCCCAAATCTCACCCCAGAAATGTAACTTTAATTACAGTAATTTAAAAAAAGGTGTACAGTAAACAAAATATAGTACTTCAGAGTTTCTGCTAGAAAACAGCAGCTTGCATTGGGGAACATAAGTCAACCCGAACAAAGAAAACAGCATAAAGTTGTATTTGTTCCTTGTTTCTTTCACACTTTGAATTTGCACATTTCAAAGTCTTAAGCAAGGCAAAGGGTGATCTGTATAAACAGTCTGCAGAATCTGTGGCACCAGAAACTTTTCTGGTACTTGGTGCATGCAGCAAGTCCGAATGAAGAATGAAAGACAAATGCACTAGTCAAAGTGCACTCTCAAAACAATCTGATGACATCATACCTCTTTAAAACCGACAATGTAGACTATGACCAGTGCATGGGACCCAAAGTTCTGGTCTGGATATCCAGCCACTACACTGCAAGCTCCAAAGTGTCGGCCGTTGCTCCAAGAGGTTCTTCAGACCCCAGAAATTCGGATTTCTCCACGAAAACAAACATGAATGTCAGTTTGATGTCCCCTGAAGTGATGGAAACATGGTTGTGTGGGTGTAAACAGCTGGGTTCACATCCATTAGTTTCTTTAACAGTTTTAAAACTTGGGGGTTGACTGGCGAAGTCTTTTCCTGTGTGAACTTCCCAGTCTCCTTTGACGGGAATTTGCCTTGTGGAACTTTGGTGCCTCTGTCGGGATTTATCCCAATCAATCGCCTGGAAAAAACAAATGTGTGGTCAGATCCAAAGTGACACAGGAACGGGTTCTTGCAAGCCTTTTAGCACAAAGACCTCAAATCACAAATTAACAGCTGGAAAATGTACTCATCTAACCTTTGAATGAATTCCAGTGTGCATGCAGCATCGTCTTGATACTGAAGATTGAAGATGTAGTAAGTAGAAAAGACAGCAGCGAGGCCGGACAGAAAAGTCGGCTGGATGCCCTCGCAAATGATGTGCCCCTCAAGACTGATCATCCAGCGGCGAATGGAGCTTTCCGGTGATTCGGCTTAAAATCCAAATAAAATCCCACCATTAGTACTGAAATGGTAATGAGCTTATTTATTCAATATACTTCTGCAGTGCAAATTTGTTAATAAACACACAGAACCATCAAGTACATCACTCATACCCTGTCAAGAACATTTAACATCTGTATCTGACCAGAATTTCGCAGTTAGGCATGAAAGGCATGCAGTTTGCATATAGAGCCAACAGGTCTGTAGACGACGCCATCAACATGGCCCTACACTCATCCTGCAGCATCTGGACTCCCCAGGAACCTACGCCAGGATCCTGTTTGTGGACTTCAGCTCTGCCTTCAACACCATCCTTCCAGACCATCTCCGAGGCAAGCTTTCCCAGATGAATGTGCCTGATCCCATCTGCCGGTGGATCACTGACTTCCTGACGGACAGGAAGCAGCATGTGAGGCTGGGAAAGAATGTCTCGGACTCCCGGACCATCAGCACCGGCTCCCCTCAGGGCTGTGTTCTTTCTCCTCTGCTCTTCTCCCTGTACACCAACTGCTGCACCTCCACCCACCAGTCTGTCAAGCTAATCAAGTTCGCAGATGACACCACCGTTATTGGGCTCATCTCGGACGGGGATGAGTCTGCCTACAGGAGGGAGGTTGAACGTCTGGTGACCTGGTGCAGCCACAACAACCTGGTGCTGAATGCCCAGAAGACAGTGGAGATTATTGTGGACTTCAGGAAGCACACAGCCCCACTCCCCCCCATCATCCTGACTGACACCCCCATCACCTCTGTGGACTCATTCCGCTTCCTGGGTACCACCATCACCCAGGACCTGAAGTGGGAGCCCACCATCACCTCCGTCATCAAGAAAGCCCAGCAGAGGATGTACTTCCTGAGGCAGCTGAAGAAATTCAACCTGCCAACACGGACGATGATGCAGTTCTACACTGCAATCATCGAGTCCATCCTCACCTCCTCCATCACCGTGTGGTACGCTGGAGCCACTATCAGGGACAAACAGAGACTGCAGCGTGTTGTGCGCTCTGCTGAGAAGGTGATTGGCTGCAGACTCCCATCTCTGCAGGACCTGTACACCTCCAGGACACTGCGGCGTGCAGCTCGGATCTCAGCTGACCCTTCTCACCCTGGACACAGTCTGTTTGACCTGCTCCCCTCAGGCAGGAGGCTCCGGTCCATTCGCACCAGAACCTCTCGCCATAAGAACAGTTTCTTCCCCTCTGCTGTTGGACACATGAACAATAACCACATGACTGTCCCCGCCACTAACACATGACCCTACGCTGTGTCACTGCATCATTTCATGTTTGGCACTGATCACCACCTGCACTCATGTATATATCTTTCTACGTAGCACTCATAATTCTTATTCTCATACTGGCGTAGGGTGTACCCGCCTATACAGCTGGGGCTCATGTATATCTCATGCACATATCTTTCTTTCTACATAGCACTTTAATTCTTATTGTTTGCACTGAAGCACCGCAGCAATTTCCTAATGTTGTAAACCTCAACATCTGGCAATAAACCCCATTCTGATTCTGATTCTGATTCTGAAAATAAAGCTGTAGATTTTCCAGTCACACAGCGTGACTTCAGCTTCCGGAGTCGCGCCCATAAAATAAAATTTTAATATGCCGATGATTGTGTAGTGTATACGACTCGGCAATATATAAAACATTGTTCGTGTTGACTGAACATATATTTACAGGGAACTTTGGGCATACAACTTGCAAAAGCAAGCTAGATAAGCTTTGTTTTTGTGTTGTGTTTGTTTTCTTTGGGGTGCTGAAGAGTAGCTTGTTGCAGAAGCTGTTTTTTAAGACATGATTTTCTTCTAATTTATTGACTTTGACAATTTTTTGATTTGCAAGTTATACAAAGTCTCCTGTGTTTTTTTCATCATAATAAAATAGAAAATGGAAATGGAGAATCTTCACCACTTGAAGGTGCTAAAACTTCTACTCCCCAGACAGAGTCCTCCAATATCAGAGGAGCTATGGAGAAAATTATGAGCTGTGGTCTTCCAGTGATCATCATATTGAATGTGAGTTGTGCCACATTTATGCTTTACAGCAGACAAACAGGTGAGGGTAACATTTTCTAATTCAAGATCAGGAACAACCTGCAATCTGTGAAGGTGCCAAAAAACGTCAGCATGACTCTGCCTTTTGTTTTAAGCTTCAGTCTCTGGAGACCTGTTGGTGACTTCCTAACTGGATGACGATTACTGCAGTTTGCATGGAAAATGTGCAAAAGAGACAAGGCAAGTGAAAGAAGCGAACAGTGAAACCGGGTGAAAAATATGGGGGGGAAAGGCAACCGGTAATTAAAATTTGACCTCCTCTAGGGAGATGTTGTCTACCGAAGACTCATTAACTCATCTCGGTTCAAGTTGAACTAAATTTCTTGTGACTTTTAGCATTTGGCAACGGGTGAAAGTTCACTGTTGTAACAGGATTCTTGGGTAATAAGATAAATCTTTGTTATGACATTATAAGTCATGAGTTATGAAATTATAGTGAGGCTATTTTTCTTCTCAAGAAGCACTTAATGCTTAACGCTGTTGGCTTTTGCAATCATAACAACAAAAAATAAATATGTATGTCATACCGAGGAGTATCAGTCGAGGAGTTGCAGGTAGTTGGAGTGTCGTCTGTAATTCAGCTGCTGTGGCATTTGCCTAGGACACAGAGTTATGACTAAATTAATCAACAAAAACATGAAACAAATAAAACTGCTGTCTTCCCCAATAACAGAGACAACAGATACAGGTGTCACCTTTGAAGAAATCAAAAACCCTAAAATAACTCACATTTGCAAAAAGAATCAGTCCTCCGAGGGATTCGGAGAAGTGAGCCATCAGAAGTTGCAGGATGCAGAAGGATAGTTCAAGTTTTGGACCCACTGAGAGGATGGATTGGATATCTGGATTAGTGGACTTGCTGAAGACCTCCAGGATGGTTGGTCCACACTCCTCCATTGCAACCTCAAGAGTGCGAAGCACTTTGATATCAGTGAGCAGCTCAAAATGAGTATAAAGTCCATTGTGTGTGAAAAGATAAGGCCATCGGCCCCTTAAATCTCTAATAGCCGGTACTGGGAGTGCATTTATTTGGCGGCGCTGCAGGTAGAAGGTTACTTTCATGAGTTCTTTTACTTCGTCTTTTTCTACCATGCTTGAGCCATCCTGATGGTAAATTTCTTCCAGTCGCTGGCGTTTTCGCTCCACTGTTTCATTTGTCTCCTCCGGCAGCAGGCCAGGCTCAAATCTGGCGCAGCCATAATTGTTGGTGGATCCTCTTTTCATTCCAGACAAACGGCTGTGGCGAAAGTTGCTGGTCCGTTTCAGGTTATCAATTCGGTTTTTGATTTGAATCACAAGCGAGATGTAATCCTCTTCCAGCAGCTGACCGTTGTCACACAGATCAGCAAAGCTCTGAGGGTACTTACGGACAATGTTTCGGCAGATGGTTACACACTGAGCACGTGTTGGGTTTAGCTCGTGTTTCCTCATCTCATCTGCTAAAATTCTAACAATCTGTCTCCTTGCTGCAGGGGATGGTCTCTTGCCCTCAGCAACCGCTGCTTGAATTTCCATTGGCATGAGGTCCCAGGGCACCTGGAACATCTCTGCCCACTGTTTTCTGAAAAGGGTGGTTTGCCCGCAGCTTTCTGAGTTGTCATGTTCTTGATTCGAGAGTGGGAGTACACCAGATGAAGTGGAGCAAGGTGACGCTGCAGGACTGCTGAGCAGTGAGCTAGAGGAAGGAATCACTGGCAGGTCCAAAGTAACCAGGTCTGTCTCTGAAAAGGAAAGGGAAAAAAACACACAGTGAGCTCAATTGTCTCTTATACAAGGGTGAGCTTAAAATAAGTTAATAATATATATATTTTTTTAAATACTGCCGACCGTCAGTGCGACCCCTGAGCCTCCCAGTATCCTCCTCCTATGGTATAATTTTCTAAACCCTACATCTCCTTGTTCTTGAGTTATGGATTCTTAAGGTTTTCAGAAAACTTGACCTCTAACAGTGAGTTCAATTTAACTGGAAATTGAACTAATCCAGGATTTTTAGTAGATGCGCCTATGTCACCCTGTTTCCAAGTTATCATATTCACAAACTTTGGTGTCCAGAATGAAGACAATACCCCACCAGCCTTTTATCAACAACCAAACCAGGAACATGAGAATACAAATACTAGCAAAAATCTCACCAGAAGGTTCCGATTTTCCCCAGGATCTGAGGCTCCATAGACATAATGAATCCCCCTTAACTGTTTTTTTTTTTAACGGAGTAGCACCTCCATCCAGATAGATACCCCTCTGAATAGCCAAGTTACTCATTATATCTCTAAGGCCTTGGTCAGAAAGACCTAGACATCTATCTAACAGTCAACAGGGTGGTTGCCAATAGTCTCTGGAAGTCGCTGGCAGTCGCTGTGAAAAGCTCCCTCAGCCACAGAGGGTCACCACACAGGTAGTTGATGTTTTATTTGGCAGATTTTTCATCCTGATCCTATTCCTGGAGCTCCCAAGGGATTTGTGTCTCTTTCTGGGATTGAATCAAGGATCGTTTGCTTGTTAGATAAATGTCTAAGCACTACTAAAGACCCATTCATGCAGGTCCGGTTCAGACTGCTGCCCCTGATGTGAACCCAGATAAACATCACATAATGGATGGCTCAAGAGCTGCATCATATTAAAAGGTTTTGGTAAAAAACACAGACACTTGGCTGTAGCACTCAGTGGGGAAACCAGCAGTGTTAGAATGACAAAATAAGTTAACAGAAGCAAAAAAACAGTTTTAAAAACTTTCAGTACAATTTTACCATTTCGCTGTACTGACGGATTTAGTGTTCAGGGAATATATATTTTAAGAAAAAGGCTGTTAGAAATGATCAGATATACTACTATAACATTGTATAGAAAAAATAGTGTATTTACGTCAACATTACCATTTTTAAATGCTTCCAGGAGTGTCTGTAATTGAAGGGGAGGCACCAAGTCAGCAATATCATCTTCAATGACAAATTTTAGGTCCTGGGTAGACTCCACTCCATCACTTAACAGCTTATGAATCAATGACTGTTGAGTGTCTTCAGAAATTAATGGCAAAGCTCTGAGGATGATATCCTTCAGGTCTTCATCCAAGGGTTTCCTTTCATTACTGTGAGAAAAAAGATCCACGACACTCATGAAAATGTTTTCCTCCAAGACAGAATAGACTGAACATTTAAACACACATTTCCATGAAATGATTCTTCAGTAGCTAAATTGGTAGTCAGTGTTGAATAAAAGTCAATGTAATCTGGAACAATCTTGGTTCACATTCAGCATCTCGTTTAGAAACAGGAGTTTTAATAGTGGGTTAGCAATCCAGCATCTCTGTTTCCATTTAAGAATAAATGGAATAACTAATGCTTCCTGCATAAAGGTTATCATTAGCAGCTGTGCAGTTTGGTATTTTTTGTTAACTAACCAAACCTTACTGCCTTTCTCAAATCAGATTCGCAAATTAGCTTGAAAACAATTGACAATTGTCAATACATACTTTAAGATCAAAACACGCAAAAATTAACTTATAATATAATCAATAATATCAACAGAATGTTAAAAATAGAAATATTAAACATGTCTACATTTTACATCCACTGCTGATTAGCATGCCAGCTAGCATGCTAATCAGCAGTGTTCAGACCATCATGTCTTATAATACACCTTTGTATCTTAAACAGCTACCTATCATCCATATACCCATAGTCTAGTATAAGAGGAAAAGAAGTGATGACGCCACATCTTGCCAGTGATGCCATACCTGATAAATGGAGCCGTAATCATAATGTTTCATTACTCTCTGGGCAAAGATCAGGTTACGTACAATAGCAATGAAAAGAAACAATAGCAGCAAAACTCTGCTAACATAACATCTGCCATCCAGCACTGGAGCTGCTCAAAGTTTTCAATCAATCATTTAATCAATCGTTTTAAGGAAGCCTGTATTTCAAGGTTTGATATGATATGAGTGAACAACAACTTCCAGATAGTTCATTTTTAATTCTGTACATCACTTTAAGTTGCAGATCACCACTGCTGAGGAGTCACGCTTATGTTGACTATAAAAATCATCGACAAGTAATTTAAAAGTCGACACGTCGTTGGAAGTTTTGTAAGATTCTGAAAGACGCAGAAGTAAGTAGTAGGTAAGTAGTTTAACGCGACGAAGGGTGTCCAAATTCGAAGACTCCTCGAAATATGGCCAAAAAAATCCACCCTCTTTTTCCCTAGATTTGATTGATGGGTCGGGTGTATCCTTCGTGGCCGAACCTATCCCAGAATTCATAGCGCGGCCCAGTTTCCAACAACGGCAGCAGCTACTTAGTTTTAATATTACTCTTTCTGGGTCGCAAAACTACATTCTCGCCTAAAAATATCTTAAAGGTTTATTTTGCAACCCTGAAAATCTGGGACTCGCCACCATTTGACCTTAGAACTGAAGAAGCTTCTCAGATGAGAGGTGAAACGTCTTCAAGCAACTTAAAGAAGTCCAGACGATTTTCTTTGCAAGTTCCTTTGACTACGATGACCTGGATGACTGAGAACCTTCACAGACAACCCAGAAAGAGTGTAAGAGTAACAAACTTTTAAGATATTTTCAGGCGAGAATGTAGCTGTGTAAGCTTCAAATATCTGCTCAATTTACCAAGACATCACATATTTGCAAAAGTGCTCCGACGTTTTCGGAGACGCCTGTTACGCACCAGCTCGATAGCTGACCAGGAGGTCAAGACTCACTAGAGCCGGCGAGAACAGTCAACCCCCGACACATCATTTTCGACTCCCCCATGATCTTTTGCTACTCAGGTTAAACATATATAAGTCACTTAGATAACTTAAAAATGTCATTGTTTGGATTTTTTCAGTGTTTTTTATTTGTTCCTGAGTAAATCAGTTTGGTTGAGATTAAAGTTATAGTCTTCACACAGCTGAATAAACGTCAAACAGAAAACTGATTAAACAGAAGTGTGAGATGGTCGAGAATTTACTCCAATGTCCTGTTAAATTTTAGGGAGCGAGAAGCAGACGGCTGAGTTTATTAAACTCCACTGAGACAATCTGCAAATTTCATTAAAGGTTTAATAAACTATCATCTTGTCTTTATTTTAAGTTAGCACATACCTTAAACACTTCAAGCTGTAAGCTAGAGCTGGGCGATAGAACGATAACGATATGTATCGCGATATAACTTTTACTCGATAGAGAAATTAAACTATCGCGATAGACCTCGCCGCTCTTGTCCTCTTAAAAAAAAAAAAAAAAAAGGTCAGCCAATCCAAATTAAGTAGCGCAGAGCCGAACCAATCACAGCCGCAGCGTCACGTCGCGTGACTTGTTAGTACAGCACAAGTGCCAAGCCGCACATGTGTATTTGTTTGGGAAGCAGCCAGCACCGTACCGCCCGGGTAATGGAGGAAATGAGTGTGCCGACTAGAAAAATCAACCGAGCGTGACCGAAGAGAAAACAGATGATGGTTCCAATGCCGGAGAGATTGTCGAACGGAAGAGCCATAGAAGTTCCGTAGTGTGAAGGTATTTCGGCTATTTCAAGTCTGACAAAAACAGAGTAGCGTGCACTGTAAATTGTGCCGAAAGCAAGTCTGGAAATACAATAAACTGGTGCATGCGTCACACTGTGCGCCACGTTATTGTTTCGGTGAAATGAATTTCTACAATACTGTTACTGTTAATTCTACTCTCTGCAGTGTTTAAATGCTTACATATACACACAGTTACTGTCCCTCCACACATACGACTCGGTTCTGCTTCTATGCCCCAGCTTTGTTTACTTTTTCCCACCGAGGCTTCTAGACTTCTGATTGGCCAACATTTCTGCACGGTTAGGAATCTAGCGCCACCTGCTGCTTTGGCATGTTCATAGCAGCGTTTTCCTTCATTTCTGCCTTTATGTGTGGACGGGATTATTTTTTAAAACGAAAACGGAAAATCTCCGTTTTCAAAAATACCCGTGTACGTGTGGACGTAGCCTCAGTCTCTGACTGGAAGCGCTAATTCGTCATTCGGCTTTTGTCAGACATCTACCCTGTTGAACTTCATCCATCCATTCGCGTCCGCTTAATGGATGAACTTATTATGGGAAATAAATATTTAAATAAAAACAAGCTGCTGATTATTTCACATTTTACTTGTGAGCAACGGCACATTTAAATCTTACAAATATAGTTTTTTGGCTTATATCGTGATAGATATCGTTATCGCCTGAAATGAAAAAAACATATCGTGATATGAAAAAATCTTATATCGCCCAGCTCTACTGTAAGCTAATGATAGTTATATAAGAGCAGACACATGCTGATGCAATAAGCTGTACGGTATACATCCAATAGATGCACGATTTGATTAGTCGACTAATTGCAAAAATAATCGGTTGCTAGTCGACTATCAAAATAATAGTTTTGGCAGCCCTAGTCTACCCCTACAACAGGAAATATCAAACAGCTCAAAATATTAAAGCCAGAAGACAGCACACCAGGTAGGAGTGCAACCAGGAGAAAGCTTATTGTGTTTTTTGATCTTTACTGTTTCTGAACACCTTTGAGACCAGAGGTAAGCCGGTTTTCTACAGCAATGTCTCAAGGGAGAACATTGCAGAATATGTTTTTTGGCCACACCAATGCAGCCCTCTTCATTCTTTCTCCAAGATGTAACTTCTTTCATCTTCATCTTCAAAACGGTTTCTAACCCATAAGATTGAAGATGGGTCAAACCATCTTCGGGGCAGGGCAGGGTGGGGAAAGGTGGGGCTGTGGTGGTATAGCAGATCAGCTACTGATTGGAAGGTTGGTGGTTCGAACCTTTGCTTCCCCAGTCTGTATGCCAAATATCCTTGGGAAAGATACTAACCCCAAGTTGCCCTCCGATGCGTCAACTGGAGTGTGAATGTTGGTTAGATTGTACTTGAGGTTAGAAGTCCTTGTGTGAGTGGGTGAATGAGGAATGTTGTAAACAGCGCTTTGAGTACTCCAGGAGAGAAGAAAAGCGCTATATAGGAATCAGTCCATTTGTCACTGTCCATTTCCAAAATGCAACATAATAAATGCTATGAAACTGTGTTTTCATTCTCCAATTTTACCGTTTTTTATTAATCACTTACCTCCTGTGCAGTGTGGTTTGTTCAGAAAAGGATGAAGAGTCTTCAGCACCATCAAGCTTATTCACATCATCCTGAACATCCTCTGAGGCCTGGAAAGTTTTATAGTTTTTATTTAGTATGGGTTTTGTAATTAATGGTTTCTGACAATGCCATGTGGAGGGATTAAGAAGGACAAAAGAAAAATCTACAAAGGCAGAGATGCTGAATCTGACACAGTACCTTCAATCGAACAAAGAGGGTAGCACTCCCAGTTGACTGGACAGCCTCTTTGATCCCCTCAGTTGTCAGTGACTCCATATTTAGAAGCTCTAGTATCTTGTTGTCATTAGATATCAGGAGCTCCAGAGGTTCAGCAGCAGCCAGCTGAGGGAAGGTTGACCTCAGCTGAGCTAGGAAGTCAGCCTCCTGAAGACCTCGAGGAACCTGCAGCTCATGAGGCACGTAATTCTGAAACACTGAGATAAAACAGGAAAGAGTGCTAAGTTGCCAGCTAACAGGGAGCATCACACTAAAACCTGACAATTTCATTCAAAAAACAAGAGCTCAGATGTCTTAGACAGTCTGTTATTAGCTGCAAAGCAACTACAATATTTATCAGATATTTGCATTAAAATGGTCCAAAAGGCTCCAAGAGCACAAACACAATCCAGAGGTCCAGCTGAGGTTCAGGAAGCAGCTACAGCCACCTGTCAGTCAAAGAGACCAAGTCCCCAACATTAAGCCTTACCACTGACAGCCTTGCTTGAAATCCTCTATCACGGTACCACTACCAAAAAATGACCACCATCAGCATTCTGAATGACTGCTGTGTAGTGGCTCGTGCTCCAATAATCATGAAGTGCTTTGACAAACTGGTCCAAACTCAGGTCATCACAAGCTTCCCAAACCATCCAGCAGCATGCCTACAGAGCTCTACAAAGGACCTCATAGTCACAAATGTGTCCTGACCACCCTAGGAGCTATGCTCGGCTACTCTTTATTATTTCAGCTCAGCATGTGATCACAGTGGTGATAACTGAATATTGTACTGGACAGATAAATTAAAAGGCTTTGAACTTACGATTGGGCGAGATGGTATCCATCTGAGGGTCCTCCACAATGTGGACCTTGAGATGCATGTGGGTGTCTGATTGACTGATCTGAGGTTTCTCAGACTCAACTCTGGGGGAAAAGAACAAAATTGGATTGAACTGTTGACATAAATAACAAACTCTAACAGCAGCAGCTTACTCTTTTCTTTGACTCACTCAGTGGTCAGTGTGGTTGGATCCAGGCTGGGTGGAGGAAGTTCAGCAGCAGTAGCATCTTCTCTCTGTAGAGACCTTTTCTCTGGACCCTAAATTTCCACCAAAAAGTAAAAGAATAGTTTTTTTTCTGATTTTTCATTCAGAACAACATGCTCCACATTTATTAACAATGTTTTCACCCTGATGTTAAATTGGTTCTTGCAGTACCTTCAGTCGGATGTAAATACCAGGATTCCCAGTCCCATTCTTGCAGATCTCTTCTGCAGTCATACTCTCCACTCTTGGAGGAATTAGATTGTGGTTGCGACCAATTAAGATGGTAAAAGGTTCACCAGCAGCCAGCTGAGGGAAAGTGGACCTCAGCAGAGCCAGGAAGTCAGCCTCCTGAAGACCACGAGGAACATTCAGCTCATGAGACGGGTGATTCTGACACACTGAGAGAAAACAGAGAAGCTCACAAAGTCAGAATCAGAATGTCTTTTTTGTCATTGTCACAGGTAGAACGAAATTAGAATTGATCTCTGATCAATGCATCATCCATACAAATGTAAAATTTAAATAAAATTTGTAAAATAAAATCAATCCCCACACACATGCCTCAGTCAGTGCATAGATCACTTCAGGAGTAGCGTGATGGACATTTTTTAGTAGCAGCATCAAGACATATTTTTCTGATTTGGTAAAAGCTGTGTTTGAGTCTGTTTGTCCTTACGCTGATTGCTTTGTACCGTCGGCCCGAGGGCAACAGTTCAAACAGGGAGTGGCCAGAGTGTGAGGTATCTTTTATAATGTTACGAGGTTTTTTAAGACAGCGGGTAGTGTGACTACAGTCAGAGCAGTTTCAGTCATCGACAAGTTAGAAGACATGTTTTCCTGAATCAACTAATAAACGGGTAACTCAGCAAACCTGCACAGAGAGCTGGATGACTAGTACGTTGGACTCTTGAGACATGCAAAGCCTCTAAATCAAGTTAAGGAGCTAATAAGAGGTAGAAAACGTTAACGGCATCAAATCCTTCCAAAGATCTTTGAAGGTTAAAAGCTTTAAACTTACTTATATTTGTGATCTTATCAATCTTAGGGTCCTCAAGGATGCGGATCTTAAGTCTTAAATCTTCTGGACACAGTGACTGTTGTATGTAGAGGGTAGATCCCCGAGAAAGTCTGATGATTTCCTCTGGTGTCACAGAGTCTCCTTTCAGAGGTTTAAGTTTGTTGTGCTTGGCCCTTAAAAAAAGGTCAAAAGGTTCATCTCCAGCCAGCTGAGGGAAGGTAGACCTGAGTAGTTTCAGGAAGTCAGCTTCCTGCAAACCACGATGAACCTTCAGCTTGTGAAGCGGGCACATCTGAAACACTAGAACACAGAGGAACGCTGAGAGATCAGTTCAATTTTTCCAGTATTAGGAGAAAGAAATCATCACTTTCCTGTTGTACTTTCACTAAATGTTCGTCTGATACTACTTTCCAATTGAATCTGGAATCTGCTTTCACAGTTTGGAGGTACCAGTGGTGACATGGGCTCCTAATGTTCCAATCATCACAGTGAAATCTTCCACATCTGCTCCAGAGTTTCATGTGTACTGAGGTGTTTTCATTGTGTTTTATAATGAAAATATTCTTGGTATTATAGTACATATTTCTTTATTAATATGTTACAATTCTTAGACCAGGGAGGAGTGCAGAAAGATGAAGATGTCCATGTAGAGTGCAGGGAGGCAGCACAAACGGTATATGTGTCCTGACCAATGTTCCCTCTAATTTTTCATGTGTCTGAGCGAACACACAAACTCCCTGAGCGATCCCTTGGACCACTGTGAGCGACATCAGACGTGTGCACTGTGGTCATGCCAGCATCGAATCCATCCAAGTTACATGGTTTATTAAAATAATCAAATTATAGCATTTACATTTACATACAAGCTCTGACTTGTATTATGGGTATGAGTCTGGTCTGGGAGATAGTCCTGTAACGCTCTGTCTGCAAAATACAGTTGATGTCGGGCAGTTAATTATATAGTTACTTCTTCAAAAAAGTTACTGAATTTTGCAAACAAAGTTTTTTGCAACTGTTTACCTAAAAATGCAACTAAGGCATTTTTAAAAAAAACATTTCAAACTATTTACGGAACAGTCAGCTGTTCTGCATCAAATTTGATGCCCCACCAATTCCTAAACCACTAAATGCCATATTGCCATATCATGTTTTGATTGGTCGACATGGTACATTTTTCGACGAATAGGAAAGGGTGGGGGCTTTTTGGTTTTGTCTTTGCTCACAGGTGGAGAGTGCTTTCGAGCGTTTTCCTTATAAAACGCAGTTTTTACCATTTCTTCCCGCAGTAAATATAAACAATGATAATATTCAGGAAGAAAACCAAACATTGCAGATATTTTTGTCATAACTCTGGTTTTACGTGGCCGATCAACACAATTTAAAAACTGGTATAAAGACCACACTTGTTCCGTCAATTGTTCTGTCTGTCCTGCTCACATCTCCAATGGTTATACACTAACGTGGCTTCACGCCACATCAGTCACGCCACTTTGCTAGCTAAAACACCAGTGTCGACACATAAGGACGCCGTCTAACCCCATACGGGAGCAGCCAGTCACTTACTAACACTGCAAAAAACAGAATTGTTAAAATATTTACTTTAATTTCAATTCAGGTTAGATTTTTTTTTTTTTTTTGCACGCAACATAGATTTAGAGGGAACATTGGTCCTGACCAGGGTTTCAGCTGCTCTTGAGCATTACTGGCATCAACAATTGTGATTTACAAGGTGCAAATGACTGTTTTTGGTATAGAGGTGTGGTGGAGACCATCAGCTTCACCTGTGTTTAATAGACCGATCTCCGAGCAGGTAAAAAGGTGAAAAGCACTTCAGAACTTACCTAGTAGGTAACAAGGTGATATACGGCTTACATGTGCTGCATTTTTATAGCAGAAACATCTAAATTTCACATCATGTTTGCTTTAGACTTACCTTGCTTTGACAAAACATTAATCTTTCGCTTTTCCAGGATGCGGATTCTGAGATTTATATGGGTGTCTGTCTCAGTGGATGGAAGATCTTCATGATCTTCATCAGCATCTTCTTTCTGTTTTACAGAAGGTCGGAATTTTCTTCTCAAATCAAGTTGTCAATGTGTTGTAATCTTTGGTAACGCTGTTGAGATCAGTTAAATCTTCTCAGTACAGTACCTGCAGTCGTATGTAGAGGGTAGATCCCCGAGAAACTCTGATGATTTCCTCTGGTGTCACAGAGTCTACTTGCAGAGGTTTCAGTTTCTTGAGGTTGCAATATAAGAAAAGGTCAAAAGGTTCATCTCCAGCCAGCTGAGGGAAGGTAGACCTGAGTAGTTTCAGGAAGTCAGCTTCCTTCAAACCACGACAAACCTTCAGCTTGTGAAGCCGGTACATCCGAAACACTAGAACACAGAGGAACACTGAATCAATCACAGTGAAATCTTCCACATCTGCTCCAGAGTTTCATGTGTACTGAGGTGTTTTCATTCTGTTTTTAACATTTAAATTTCACATCACGTTTGCTTTAGACTTACCAGTATTTGAAAGCACTTCAATGTTTGGGTTTTCCAATATGCGGATTTTGAGATCTATGCAATTTTGTGATTTGCTGATTCGACGTTTGCCAGGTTTTTTTCTCCTCTTAGACGGAACTGTTTGAGTCAAGAACCTAAGGAAAACACGGAAAAACGGGAGCTGGGATACAAAAGATAACACATATACTTTTGTACATAGTAGACATTTATGCACTTGTCTTTTAACCTTGATGTTGTTACATGATCCAGCTCTGTCGTGTATCCTTCCTCCTGCTCTAAATATTCATACTCTTCATCCTCTATCGGTGCCTGAAATCCCAGGCTCCTACTGTCGTCCACCCCTAGGAACAAACAAATTCTTATGTTAGTCACAATTATGTGTTGCCCGGCTCAACAAGAACTTGACCGTTTACATAACCGAAAGGGAGCATGCTGCTACTATCTACTGTTTGTGCTTTAAGAGGACATGAGCTAATGTATCTTTTCCATTACAACCTTCTCGGCTCGACCCAACTCAGTTAAATTGTTTTTCATATATATTTCGTGTGTGTGTGTGTACACACACACACACACACACACACACACACACACACACACACACATTGAGGACTGCAGTTGCCTACCCCTGGTTTATCACATAATTATCAATGAAATGTTTTTATTAGACTTGTCTACTGATAATACATCAGAGACATGAAACAGCAGCAGTCTAGAACTGAACTTTATTCATGTTTGTCAAAGTAGCTTCTTACTCAGCTCATATTTGTCCTGCTTCTGATCATCCAGTAATGGAGCACCTCCATCTTCACAGATGGAAAACAGCTGCTGGTCGTCTGCAAAAGTATGTTTAATGTTCAATTTTAGAAAAAACAAATGTGACATGAAAAAAAAAGTTTCTAGCAATGTTAAGATCTGCATCAAGTTGATGAGTATCCTGAACGTTTTATACACTGACCAGACACTTTATACATTCTTTGTGGCACATATCCTTTGAGCTTGGGTCCTATACCAGACGCTTTGGAGCATTGAGGGTCCTAAGCAGTATCTTAGCTGTTTCTAGGACTGTAGTCTTCTGGACAGAGATCTCCAACGTTTTTCCTAGGATCTGCTGGGGCCAGACTACACTAGGTGCAGAGTCACCGATACATGAAGCTATACATTTTTAGACATAAGTTGTTGCAAAAGTTGTAAAAGTGGTTTTCCATGTTTGAGTCCATGGTGGGGACCGGTTTGCATTATAATTTGCATAGTACAATTTTCTGGTCCGTGTCAGACTGTTCATAACCAACCATGTTAATGCTACAGATGTAGTCCCTCGTTTAGGAATAAGGTGCTCAATGTGTTTGACTGGTCCTTGTGTTTATAGCTACCTGGTTTTGGCTCATCTTCACTGGCCATCCTGGCATTCTCTTGTCTCTATTCCTTTGACTGTAAGTGCCATTTATAAGTAGTTCATGTTTTAATTTGAGCCAATTTGTTTAATGTATTATCTGAAATTTGATGTTTGACAATAATGTATATCATTTGAGTTTATTTTTGAGTCTCGACAGAATATTGAGCTTTATTGTGAAAGTTTTATGTGGAATATAAACAAGCGGACGGCGGAGCCACACAATGGTTTTAGCGTCGTTGTTGCTAACCAAAGTACTCACAAACAGTCGGTCCGGTGTGTGATCATATTAATCATAAGAGAAAGAGAGAACTCTAAGGAGTTAATATAGCCACTACAGTAACCATCAAAACCATGAAAAAATATTGGCGTACAGTTTATTTTGCGACCCTACGAAACAAACGATAGGTACAAAAAAAACGACGTATCGTCAGTTTCAGGCCAATCTCTGTAAACCCTAGATATGGTTGCGTGGGAAAATCCCAGCAGACAGGCCCGTCTGGCACCAAAGACCTTTCTTTCTCACTCGGATTCTCACTTTGAGCTACTGTAGGTTGTCTTGGCCATCTGAAGACATCAAGTTGCTGCTATGTGATTGGCTCATTTGTTGTTTGCATTAACGAGAAGATGAAAGAGTACCTAATATAGTGGCCGCTGAGTGTTTCAAAGCACTTCAATAAATGTTACAGGGGCTAAAACACCGACCTGCCTCCTGCTTTATCTCAGGCTGCAGGAGCTCCAGCAGTCTCCTCTGCCGGTCGAGCTCCTGCCTGAAGCCCGCAGCCTCCTCCTCATAGTCGGCTACAGTCCGCTCCACCACCGATAAGATCTCCCGAGCGGCTGTGCTCAGTTTGTCGGTGATGATTCCTCTCAGTATGTCGCTCTTGGACATATTAGCGATGTCTGGCTCGCTGTCCCAGCTCTGCACCATCGTCATCATCATCGAGTCGCTCATGAAATAATTTCTTTTTTCCCGCGTGGGAAAATGTTTCTGTCGGATGTTTAACCCTAGAAGTTTTTTACCGAGCTAGTGAACGCGCAAATGTTGTCCGGCTGGAAACATAAAAGGAAACACCATCCTAGGAGAAAATGACACATAGCACAGACATAGCACAGTAATAGACTATCACACGTATAATTATATCAGTATTTATTAAAAAAGAAGAACCCCCGCGCCGCCGCCCAAAAAACCCATTTAGGTTTATTTGGCACTAACTGCATTTCCATCACAATGACAGCAGGTTTTAATAAATATAACAGGGAGAAATCATGATACATGTAGATTGTGCTCCGAGGGTTACTTAAAAAAGTGTCGCCCCTGTGTTTTCCTGTAGCCTAATTGTAACTTTATTGTAATTATATTGCTCCACTTTCTGTAGAATATGCAGGAATATTATTTATAAAAATATTTTTTTTTAATTAAAAAAATTTAGTATGGTCTTTTTCTCGTTTGTGGTTCATGTTTCCAGCCGGGCAGCATTTGCTGTTGTACGTCGCCTGTAGTGTAACATCCGTACCGCACGTTCCCCCACGCGCGTTAATTGTTTCATCTCCGGTAAAGAAGTGAGCGGGACCCACGGAGCCCCACCATGGAGCCGGACTCATCCGACCCCAATACGTCCAAAACCGACATGCTGAGAGGAGTCATCGCCGAGAAGCTCACCTTGGCCGCCCGGGAGATCTTAGCGGTGGTGGAGAAGACTGTAGCCGACTACGAGGAGGAGGCTGTGGGTTTCAGGCAGGAGATTGACCGGCAGAGGAGACTGCTGGAGCTCCTGCAGCCTGAAGTCAAGTTAGAGGCTTTAGGTCTGTGTGTGTGGATAACAGAACAGTGTGTTGTTTCCTGCGGAGAGAGCGAGAGCTCGCGTAATGACGAACCCCGTTTACAAAACACTAATTTAACATTTCTTTGCTTGACGTGAAGCCCATTGACATTCGAGTATTCATCTCAAAACCTGATTATAACACTCCTTAATTTGGTATACATGTAACACCCCTGAGCCATGTCATATTTCAGAATTTTAAGTTTTTATTGGCTCGTGGTAATGTCACAAAGCTAGCCTTTGGTTTCTCTTTAAGTGAAATCCGATGGGCTTTTAAAGCCTTGAAATGTCGTTTAAAGTCAGCTACAGCTGCTATAAAACCCTCTCTAGAATGATGACAGAGTCACAGAGTCATCGGCACTTAAAAAACCCATCCTAGTGACTGATTTAAATAAACATTTTAAATCGTTTCCCAAGTTGCGCCGCTGTTCCCGAATCAAAACAAAGATGGCGGCCTGCCGGCTACATGCACACAACGGTGTTTGTTCAAGCGCTGTGGTGCGATTTTACAGCGCTTGCCATGACTGTTTCTATTGAAATTTATTTAAATCAACTATAAAAAATACTGTGCTATAGTTAACACACAGCTGTGCTGTGAAACCAGCGGTTTTAAGCTCCCAACGTATATAATGTTTAGATATTACCCGTAACCTTTTTGGGGGGCGGGGGTGTTTCTTTTGACTTCGTCGTTCATCTTCACATTAATGTCTTTGCGAACCTTCAAATAAGCATTGACTTCTCTTGCTAATAATCACAGTCCTTTATTTTTTTGTAGACACCCATTTTTTAGAACATATCCCTTATATATTTAATTTTTTTACAGCTGTCTATGGTTGGATCTGGCCTATGTCATGAAACGGGATATCCTTATATGTGCTCTCTAGCCTTCAAGTCTCTGCGAGGGGCAGCCAATAAGAAACAACGTGGTTAAAAAGGACTCGTGTCACTCAAGAACCTCTAGCAACCTGCCGAGGAACAGTCATGTTTCCCTAGGAACCAGTTGTTGCTAAGTGGTTGTCAGCTGGCCTGTGTCCATGGGTTGTTCCGTGTATGTAGTTTGTGTAATAGTGTAATATGTTTTGTCCACGCATTTGCTAAAAACAGTTCCACTTACCCTCTGACAATAAAATGTATGTAAGTTGGACCTGACCATTCTGGGGTTGAAACAACAGGTAGCTCCATGTGCTTTGATTTAGCAGATTTGACACAAATATAAAGAGACTTTTGTCTCCTCCTGGGATCATACTGGGAATCTTTGGCGTATTAGGCCGATGTAGACACCACTACACAAAGGACTTTCCCCTGGAAACACCTGCAGGCACGCAAAAGCCTGTATGGACACCAAATAGCTGCCATATGTGAGAGCTATTTGAATGTGGGAATCCTGGAGTCTGCAGTTTGTTTACATGTAAATCAGGTGAATCTAAAGCTTAACTCATCTACTGCTGTGACTCAAGAGAATGAAACAGGTTGCTCGTTAATCAGCAGTGTCATCTGCGCTCATAAGAATAATTCTGACGTGAAATTTTTTTTTTTATTGTTTTGTTTTATTACTTAATGACACTAAAATGCTTCTATGGTGCAGATGACCAGCAGCAGTTTTCCCTTTGTGAGGCTGGAGGAGGTCGACTACCAGAAGATCAGGAGCAGCACAAATATGAGCAGAGTATGACTTTTAACCTACTTTGATATATGTAAACAAAGTCGTCATATTTATATTTGTAATGGATCAAGATGCACAGAAACATAAGAGATGTTACTGTCTGTCTGTCTGTCTGTCTGTCTGGTTCAAATTAGATGTGGTGTACTGCAGGGATCCTCTCTGGGCCCACTGTTGTTTCTGTTTATGTCATTTGGTACTTTTTATTTGACTTTGTCAAATGCTTTGCTGTAATGAACAGTTTGTTGGGCATTATAACCTCCCAGTATTTTTCTCTTAGTAATAAGTTGAGTTAACTAAGCTGAATTTGAAGCTGAATTTCAGAAACAACAAAACTTCCCAAATTTGAGAAATAAAAGACTGATGGAGTCAAACATTTGGAGTTTTTTGAGCGTTCAGGTGAAAAATATTTGACTGCAATTTGACCCCAGTCAACGGACAGATTCAGTTGTAATCACATGTTCACGCACTGAAGGGGAGAGTGTAATTAACCGTCCTACAGAACTGCTTTAATGTTCAGATAATGGTTGGTTCAAAGCTCTTAAAACTGCTGTTCTGTGACCCGTGTAGGTTTTTCTTTTTTTTTTTTGAGAAGTGTTGCTGTTGTTGCTGATAAACTCAGACAAATGTGGACATTATCTTAAGTACAGCTTGAAAACGTTAAATATCAGAAAGATTGGCAGACTAAGTAGTGATAGAAGTGTTCGTTGGAGCCTCGTATAATTATTGTTTTTTTAACAGCAAACAAAATTTGAAGACGAGAATTTAAGTAATAGCGTTTCTTCCTCTTCCTGACGCGGCATGTTAACTGTTGTTTATTCGTGGTTGCACATTTGTATGATTAATGCTGTCATGTGGGAAAACTAAATAAATAAACTTTGAATTTGTTTCCAGGGGTGGAGGACAGCCAAAGCCTGGGATTCTCAGGCTACAGTGAGGAACAAATAGAGGAAGACGAACATGAAGATGAGGATGAGGAGGAGGAGGAGGAGGAGGAGATGGCACAGCAGTGTTATGAAGCAGCACCACGGTTACAAGATACAGACGCACTGTAAGTGTACAGACACCGCTCTGTGTGTGCGTGTGCTGTTGTAACATTTGTGACTCATCTGCTGATCTTGAGGTTATTTTGTTCTTTTCCTTTTTTAGGCTCGTGCCTTCCACGGTTCAGACTGACAGACGGAGAGCAGACAGACCTTGGATCAGTGAAACGCAGAGTTTCGTGGACCTCAGGATCCGCATCCTGGACTCGATGATCGACGTGCTTTCAAAGAGGGGTGAGTGTGAGAAAGATGTAAATAAAAAAACCATTACTGTTGCATCTTTAAGGGTTTGGATTTTACTCTGGATGTTTTCCCCCATATGATTTTAAACTGAGGACATGGAGTTTTATGGGCAATGTGACTGCTGCAGATACCTCATAATGTATTTCAGCTTATTTGGAGCATTTGTAAAATACAGCTAAAGCACAGGAATGAATAAAAAGTCACTTTTTGTGTTTTTAATCAAAGCCTGTGGGTGAAGCTTTTCCTGCAGTCTAGATAAAAACTTGTCTTTCCCTCTGCATCACAGTGTTTCAGAAGTACCCACTTCATGAGCTGCAGTGTCGTCGTGGCCTTCAGGAGGCCGACTTCCTGCATCTGCTTAGGACAACCTTCCCCCAGCTGGCTGCTGATGAACCTTTTGACGTTTTTATAACTGACAACACCAGAAAGCTGCAGCCTCTGAAAATAGACTTGTGGACTCCGGAGGCGATCGAGAGGACCATCAGGGCAAATGGGAATTCTGCCCTCTACATCCGCCTGAAGGTAAGGTGCCTAATGTGTGACGCCCTCGCTGGAGTTAACTTCCTGTAAACTATGTTCTTGACTTTGCTCGTTGCTCTGATGGTGTCTTTTGGAGAATGAATCATTCAAGCATAAAAAGGCTCAAACTCAAGGGATGAACCAGTGTTGTGTCTACACAGAACAGAGGACTTGGCGTAGAATCAGTTTTAAAATGGATCTGCAGGCAGTTTGGTTTCATTTCTTTAGTTTTATTAAATGAATCTATGAAAAATGCCAAAAGTAAAGCATTTTTGCACCAACAAGGTGATTCCTGAAGAGCTATTATGGTAGAAAAGTGTCATATCTCAGCATGGTGTGCAGTGAGATACAACAGTAAGCATCCACAGCCATCTATAGAACACAGTGGAGGCTCTGTCATGATGTGGGGCTGCAATCCAGCCAGTCTAGTTGGGATCTTCTCATAAGGAAAGAATCGTGAACAGTCCTGCAGTCTGACTCGTTTTTGTGCCATTTTTCTAAAAAAAAAAACTGTCAAAACAAATTTATTTCAGAATCAGCAGAGTTTAGAAGCTGAAGAGGAGCTTCAGCCATTGCACGGAAATAAAGCTGCTGCTGAGCACATGAGGTACCTCAAGTATTCAAACGCTGCTGTAAATAACCAGTAAATATAGAGGACAAAAACAAACGGATACATCGTATATAAAAGGCTAAATTATTTGTTATAATGTTGTTTTTGACTTCTTTACTCTTTCAGGAAGAGGGTGGGCAGACCTGGGTTCAGGAAAACACAGACGCATGTAATGATCAGAATCCGCATCCTGGGTAAAATGAAGTCTGACGTGCTCTCAGCCAGAGGTGCGCCCAATAAAACCTCCAGTTTGGTGTCTCTTTGGACAAACTGTGTCTCTTTGTGACTGTGAAGTTAAATAATAATAGCCTGTCCATGTGTGTTCATTGTTTTTCAGTGTATCAGATGTGCCCGCTTCATGAGCTAATGTGCCCTCGGGGTCTACAGGAGGCTGACTTCATGGACCTGCTGAGGTCCACCTTCCCTCAGCTGACTGCCGATGAGCCTTTTGACCTCTTTGTGAGTGACAAAAGCAGAAAACTGAAGCCTCTGAAAGTACGGTCACTGACGACGGAGGAGGTGGAGAGGGCTACGAGGACTTCTACGCTCTACATCCGACTGAAGGTGCTGATTCACAAAGACCTTTGTCTGCTACTAAAAAAATCTTAGCAGACAAAGAAATATTCTGGTTGATTGTCTGTCTTTGTGTTTTCTGAGAATCCTGAGCATTTAAATAGGTTGTAAAACTCCACGTGTGACCAGTCAGGAGTGCCATTTGTACGGTGGCCCTGAGAGGCCAAACGGACTGCAACTTAAGAAAACACCAGCAATAAGAAAAACGCTGCAAAAGCACACAAAACACACAGAAATAGAAAAAACAAAAACAGAAATAGGAAAAATCAAATTTCCAAAAGCACAAGGGAAGTGTTTCTGGGGAGACAATAACCTGACGGACCAGTTGCAGGAACCAAAATATGCTAAGAACTGCACTGGGAGACACTTAAAAGAAGTGGAGGATCTATCGGTTTGTGAGGAAAGAAAAGATCAGAGTTAAGTATGTTAGCCTAACTATTAGCCTAAAAATCCATCATCAGTATTAAATGAATCACGATAAAACACACCTAGCATGTTTTGGGTTCCTGCAACTGGTCCGTCGGGTTATTGTCTCCCCAGAAACACTTCCCTTGTGCTTTTGGAAATCTGTTTCTTCCTATTTGTGTTTTGTGTGTTTTTGCAACGTTTTTCTTATTGCTGGTGTTTTCATAACTTGAAGTCTGTTTGTCCTCTCAGGGGCACCGTACATTTGCATTTAACTACACAGACCAACAGTACACCACTAAATCTTTTCTTTCTTCTGTAGCCGTCGGAGGAGCTTCAAGCCTCAGCGAAACAGTTCCTGAGTGTAGGAGATGTTTTAGCTGAAACTCTTCCATTGACCCTAAAAACAACCAGAAAGAAACCCGGGTAAGTCAAAACCTGACTATAATAAATATTGGCTAGTCAGCCATAGCAAACAGATCTGTAAAAGCCTAATTTTAAGGTTTTGCATATCAAGACAGGATGAAAAACAAACTCAGTCAGGCTGTGGTCTGCACTTGACTCTGGTGACTGCAAAGTGGCCAAATCATCACCCCACTGTGCCGACTCTTGGTATGAGGTGTGTGTGAACTTTAACATGCTGCGAGAAAGTCTGATGATTTCCTCTGGTGTCACAGAGTCTCCTTTCAGAGGTTTAAGTTTGTTGTGCTTGGCCCTTAAAAAAAGGTCAAAAGGTTCATCTCCAGCCAGCTGAGGGAAGGTAGACCTGAGTAGTTTCAGGAAGTCAGCTTCCTGCAAACCACGATGAACCTTCAGCTTGTGAAGCGGGCACGTCTGAAACACTAGAACACAGAGGAACGCTGAGAGATCAGTTCAATTTTTCCAGTATTAGGAGAAAGAAATCATCACTTTCCTGTTGTACTTTCACTAAATGTTTGTCTGATACTACTTTCCAATTAAATCTGGAATCTGCTTTCACAGTTTGGAGGTACCAGTGGTGACATGGGCTCCTAATGTTCCAATCATCACAGTGAAATCTTCCACATCTGCTCCAGAGTTTCATGTGTACTGAGGTGTTTTCATTGTGTTTTATAATGAAAATATTCTTGGTATTATAGTACATATTTCTTTATTAATATGTTACAATTCTTAGACCAGGGAGGAGTGCAGAAAGATGAAGATGTCCATGTAGAGTGCAGGGAGGCAGCACAAACGGTATATGTGTCCTGACCAATGTTCCCTCTAATTTTTCATGTGTCTGAGCGAACACACAAACTCCCTGAGCGATCCCTTGGACCATTGTGAGCGACATCAGACGTGTGCACTGTGGTCACGCCAGCATCGAATCCATCCAAGTTACATGGTTTATTAAAATAATCAAATTACAGCATTTACATTTATACAAGCTCTGACTTGTATTATGGAGTATGAGTCTGTGGTCTGGGAGATAGTCCTGTAAGCTCTGTCTGCAAAATACAGTTTAGATGTCGGGCAGTTAATTATATAGTTACTTCTTCAAAAAAGTTACTGAGTTTTGCAACAACAAAGTTTTTTTGCAGACTGTTTACCTAAAAATGCAACTAAGGCATTTTAAAAAAAAAAACATTTCAAACTATTTACGGAACAGTCAGCTGTTCTGCATCAAATTTGATGCCCCCCCATTCCTAAACCACTAAATGCCATATTGCCATATCATGTTTTGATTGGTCGACATGGTACATTTTTCGACGAATAGGAAAGGGTGGGGGCTTTTTGGTTTTGTCTTTGCTCACAGGTGGAGAGTGCTTTCGAGCGTTTTCCTTATAAAACGCAGTTTTTACCATTTCTTCCCGCAGTAAATATAAACAATGATAATATTCAGGAAGAAAACCAAACATTGCAGATATTTTTGTCATAACTCTGGTTTTACGTGGCCTATCAACACAATTTAAAAACTGGTATAAAGTCCACACTTGTTCCGTAATTGTTCTGTCTGTCCTGCTCACATCTCCAATGGTTATACACTAACGTGGCTTCACGCCACATCAGTCACGCCACTTTGCTAGCTAAAACACCGGTGTCGACACATAAGGACGCCGTCACAGCCTGTTAGCGACGTTGATTAGCTGCGTATATACGAATATGAATCGGTCTAACCCCATACGGGAGCAGCCAGTCACTTACTAACACTGCAAAAAACAGAATTGTTAAAATATTTACTTTAATTTCAATTCAGGTTAGATTTTTTTTTTTTTGCACGCAACATAGATTTCAGAGGGAACATTGGTCCTGACCAGGGTTTCAGCTGCTCTTGAGCATTACTGGCATCAACAATTGTGATTTACAAGGTGCAAATGACTGTTTTTGGTATAGAGGTGTGGTGGAGACCATCAGCTTCACCTGTGTTTAATAGACCGATCTCCGAGCAGGTAAAAGGGTGAAAAGCACTTCAGAACTTACCTAGTAGGTAACAAGGTGATATACGGCTTACATGTGCTGCATTTTTATAGCAGAAACATCTAAATTTCACATCATGTTTGCTTTAGACTTACCTTGCTTTGACAAAACATTAATCTTTCGCTTTTCCAGGATGCGGATTCTGAGATTTATATGGGTGTCTGTCTCAGTGGATGGAAGATCTTCATGATCTTCATCAGCATCTTCTTTCTGTTTTACAGAAGGTCGGAATTTTCTTCTCAAATCAAGTTGTCAATGTGTTGTAATCTTTGGTAACGCTGTTGAGATCAGTTAAATCTTCTCAGTACAGTACCTGCAGTCGTATGTAGAGGGTAGATCCCCGAGAAACGTCTGATGATTTCCTCTGGTGTTCACAGAGTCTCCTTGCAGAGGTTTCAAGTTTCGTTGGCTTGCACCTTAAAAAAGGTCAAAAGGTTCATCTCCAGCCAGCTGAGGGAAGGTAGACCTGAGTAGTTTCAGGAAGTCAGCTTCCTTCAAACCACGACGAACCTTCAGCTTGTGAAGCCGGTACATCCGAAACACTAGAACACAGAGGAACACTGAATCAATCACAGTGAAATCTTCCACATCTGCTCCAGAGTTTCATGTGTACTGAGGTGTTTTCATTCTGTTTTTAACATTTAAATTTCACATCACGTTTGCTTTAGACTTACCAGTATTTGAAAGCACTTCAATGTTTGGGTTTTCCAATATGCGGATTTTGAGATCTATGCAATTTTGTGATTTGCTGATTCGACGTTTGCCAGGTTTTTTTCTCCTCTTAGACGGAACTGTTTGAGTCAAGAACCTAAGGAAAACATGGAAAAACGGGAGCTGGGATACAAAAGATAACACATATACTTTTGTACATAGTAGACATTTATGCACTTGTCTTTTAACCTTGATGTTGTTACATGATCCAGCTCTGTCGTGTATCCTTCCTCCTGCTCTAAATATTCATACCTCTTCATCCTCTATCGGTGCCTGAAATCCCAGGCTCCTACTGTCGTCCACCCCTAGGAACAAATAAATTCTTATGTTAGTCACAATTATGTGTTGCCCGGCTCAACAAGAACTTGACCGTTTACATAACCGAAAGGGAGCATGCTGCTACTATCTACTGTTTGTGCTTTAAGAGGACATGAGCTAATGTATCTTTTCCATTACAACCTTCTCGGCTCGACCCAACTCAGTTAAATTGTTTTTCATATATATTTCGTGTGTGTGTGTGTGTGTGTACACACACACACACACACACACACACATTGAGGACTGCAGTTGCCTACCCCTGGTTTATCACATAATTATCAATGAAATGTTTTTATTAGACTTGTCTACTGATAATACATCAGAGACATGAAACAGCAGCAGTCTAGAACTGAACTTTATTCATGTTTGTCAAAGTAGCTTCTTACTCAGCTCATATTTGTCCTGCTTCTGATCATCCAGTAATGGAGCACCTCCATCTTCACAGATGGAAAACAGCTGCTGGTCGTCTGCAAAAGTATGTTTAATGTTCAATTTTAGAAAAACCAAATGTGACATGAAAAAAAAAGTTTCTAGCAATGTTAAGATCTGCATCAAGTTGATGAGTATCCTGAACGTTTTATACACTGACCAGACACTTTGTACATTCTTTGTGGCACATATCCTTTGAGCTTGGGTCCTATACCAGACGCTCTGGAGCATTGAGGGTCCTAAGCAGTATCTTAGCTGTTTCTAGAACTGTAGTCTTCTGGACAGAGATCTCCAACGTTTTTCCTAGGATCTGCTGGGGCCAGACTACACTAGGTGCGGAGTCACCGATACATGAAGCTATACATTTTTAGACATAAGTTGTTGCATAGGTGGTAAAAGTGGTTTTCCATGTTTGAGTCCATGGTGGGGACCGGTTTGCATTATAATTTGCATAGTACAATTTTCTGGTCCGTGTCAGACTGTTCATAACCAACCATGTTAATGCTACAGATGTAGTCCCTCGTTTAGGAATAAGGTGCTCAATGTGTTTGACTGGTCCTTGTGTTTATAGCTACCTGGTTTTGGCTCATCTTCACTGGCCATCCTGGCATTCTCTTGTCTCTATTCCTTTGACTGTAAGTGCCATTTATAAGTAGTTCATGTTTTAATTTGAGCCAATTTGTTTAATGTATTATCTGAAATTTGATGTTTGACAATAATGTATATCATTTGAGTTTATTTTTGAGTCTCGACAGAATATTGAGCTTTATTGTGAAAGTTTTATGTGGAATATAAACAAGCGGACGGCGGAGCCACACAATGGTTTTAGCGTCGTTGTTGCTAACCAAAGTACTCACAAACAGTCGGTCCGGTGTGTGATCATATTAATCATAAGAGAAAGAGAGAACTCTAAGGAATTAATATAGCCACTACAGTAACCATCAAAACCATGAAAAAATATTGGCGTACACAGTTTATTTTGCGACCCTACGAAACAAACGATAGGTACAAAAAAAAACGACGTATCGTCAGTTTCAGGCCAATCTCTGTAAACCCTAGATATGGTTGCGTGGGAAAATCCCAGCAGACAGGCCCGTCTGGCACCAAAGACCTTTCTTTCTCACTCGGATTCTCACTTTGAGCTACTGTAGGTTGTCTTGGCCATCTGAAGACATCAAGTTGCTGCTATGTGATTGGCTCATTTGTTGTTTGCATTAACGAGAAGATGAAAGAGTACCTAATATAGTGGCCGCTGAGTGTTTCAAAGCACTTCAATAAATGTTACAGGGGCTAAAACACCGACCTGCCTCCTGCTTTATCTCAGGCTGCAGGAGCTCCAGCAGTCTCCTCTGCCGGTCGAGCTCCTGCCTGAAGCCCGCAGCCTCCTCCTCATAGTCGGCTACAGTCCGCTCCACCACCGATAAGATCTCCCGAGCGGCTGTGCTCAGTTTGTCGGTGATGATTCCTCTCAGTATGTCGCTCTTGGACATATTAGCGATGTCTGGCTCGCTGTCCCAGCTCTGCACCATCGTCATCATCATCGAGTCGCTCATGAAATAATTTCTTTTTTCCCGCGTGGGAAAATGTTTCTGTCGGATGTTTAACCCTAGAAGTTTTTTACCGAGCTAGTGAACGCGCAAATGTTGTCCGGCTGGAAACATAAAAGGAAACACCATCCTAGGAGAAAATGACACATAGCACAGACATAGCACAGTAATAGACTATCACACGTATAATTATATCAGTATTTATTAAAAAAGAAGAACCCCCGCGCCGCCGCCCAAAAAACCCATTTAGGTTTATTTGGCACTAACTGCATTTCCATCACAATGACAGCAGGTTTTAATACATATAATAGGGAGAAATCATGATACATGTAGATTGTGCTCCGAGGGTTACTTAAAAAAGTGTCGCCCCTGTGTTTTCCTGTAGCCTAATTGTAACTTTATTGTAATTATATTGCTCCACTTTCTGTAGAATATGCAGGAATATTATTTATAAAAATATTTTTTTTTAATTAAAAAAATTTAGTATGGTCTTTTTCTCGTTTGTGGTTCATGTTTCCAGCCGGGCAGCATTTGCTGTTGTACGTCGCCTGTAGTGTAACATCCGTACCGCACGTTCCCCCACGCGCGTTAATTGTTTCATCTCCGGTAAAGAAGTGAGCGGGACCCACGGAGCCCCACCATGGAGCCGGACTCATCCGACCCCAATACGTCCAAAACCGACATGCTGAGAGGAGTCATCGCCGAGAAGCTCACCTTGGCCGCCCGGGAGATCTTAGCGGTGGTGGAGAAGACTGTAGCCGACTACGAGGAGGAGGCTGTGGGTTTCAGGCAGGAGATTGACCGGCAGAGGAGACTGCTGGAGCTCCTGCAGCCTGAAGTCAAGTTAGAGGCTTTAGGTCTGTGTGTGTGGATAACAGAACAGTGTGTTGTTTCCTGCGGAGAGAGCGAGAGCTCGCGTAATGACGAACCCCGTTTACAAAACACTAATTTAACATTTCTTTGCTTGACGTGAAGCCCATTGACATTCGAGTATTCATCTCAAAACCTGATTATAACACTCCTTAATTTGGTATACATGTAACACCCCTGAGCCATGTCATATTTCAGAATTTTAAGTTTTTATTGGCTCGTGGTAATGTCACAAAGCTAGCCTTTGGTTTCTCTTTAAGTGAAATCCGATGGGCTTTTAAAGCCTTGAAATGTCGTTTAAAGTCAGCTACAGCTGCTATAAAACCCTCTCTAGAATGATGACAGAGTCACAGAGTCATCGGCACTTAAAAAACCATCCTAGTGACTGATTTAAATAAACATTTTAAATCGTTTCCCAAGTTGCGCCGCTGTTCCCGAATCAAAACAAAGATGGCGGCCTGCCGGCTACATGGACACAACGGTGTTTGTTCAAGCGCTGTGGTGCGATTTTACAGCGCTTGCCATGACTGTTTCTATTGAAATTTATTTAAATCAACTATAAAAAATACTGTGCTATAGTTAACACACAGCTGTGCTGTGAAACCAGCGGTTTTAAGCTCCCAACGTATATAATGTTTAGATATTACCCGTAACCTTTTTGGGGGGCGGGGGTGTTTCTTTTGACTTCGTCGTTCATCTTCACATTAATGTCTTTGCGAACCTTCAAATAAGCATTGACTTCTCTTGCTAATAATCACAGTCCTTTATTTTTTTGTAGACACCCATTTTTTAGAACATATCCCTTATATATTTAATTTTTTTACAGCTGTCTATGGTTGGATCTGGCCTATGTCATGAAACGGGATATCCTTATATGTGCTCTCTAGCCTTCAAGTCTCTGCGAGGGGCAGCCAATAAGAAACAACGTGGTTAAAAAGGACTCGTGTCACTCAAGAACCTCTAGCAACCTGCCGAGGAACAGTCATGTTTCCCTAGGAACCAGTTGTTGCTAAGTGGTTGTCAGCTGGCCTGTGTCCATGGGTTGTTCCGTGTATGTAGTTTGTGTAATAGTGTAATATGTTTTGTCCACGCATTTGCTAAAAACAGTTCCACTTACCCTCTGACAATAAAATGTATGTAAGTTGGACCTGACCATTCTGGGGTTGAAACAACAGGTAGCTCCATGTGCTTTGATTTAGCAGATTTGACACAAATATAAAGAGACTTTTGTCTCCTCCTGGGATCATACTGGGAATCTTTGGCGTATTAGGCCGATGTAGACACCACTACACAAAGGACTTTCCCCTGGAAACACCTGCAGGCACGCAAAAGCCTGTATGGACACCAAATAGCTGCCATATGTGAGAGCTATTTGAATGTGGGAATCCTGGAGTCTGCAGTTTGTTTACATGTAAATCAGGTGAATCTAAAGCTTAACTCATCTACTGCTGTGACTCAAGAGAATGAAACAGGTTGCTCGTTAATCAGCAGTGTCATCTGCGCTCATAAGAATAATTCTGACGTGAAATTTTTTTTTTTATTGTTTTGTTTTATTACTTAATGACACTAAAATGCTTCTATGGTGCAGATGACCAGCAGCAGTTTTCCCTTTGTGAGGCTGGAGGAGGTCGACTACCAGAAGATGAGGAGCAGCACAAATATGAGCAGAGTATGACTTTTAATCTACTTTGATATATGTAAACAAAGTCGTCATATTTATATTTGTAATGGATCAAGATGCACAGAAACATAAGAGATGTTATTATCTTTCTTTCTTTCTTTAAAAACACTGATGTTCGTTTGTATAAATGCAGTTCAAATTAGATGTGGTGTACTGCAGGGATCCTCTCTGGGCCCACTGTTGTTTCTGTTTATGTCATTTTGGTACTTTTTATTTGACTTTGTCAAATGCATTGCTGTAATGAACAGTTTGTTGGGCATCATAACCTCCCAGTATTTTTCTCTTAGTAATAAGTTGAATTAACTAAGCTGAATTTGAAGCTGAATTTCAGAAACAACAAAACTTCCCAAATTTGAGAAATAAAAGACTGATAGAGTCAAACATTTGGAGTTTTTTTAGCGTTCAGGTGAAAAATATTTGACTGCAATTTGACCCCAGTCAACGGACAGTTTCAGTTGTAATCACATGTTCACGCACTGAAGGGGAGAGTGTAATTAACCATCCTACAGAACTGCTTTAATGTTCAGATAATGGTTGGTTCAAAGCTCTTAAAACTGCTGTTCTGTGACCCGTGTAGGTTTTTCTTTTTCTTTTTTTGAGAAGTGTTGCTGTTGTTGCTGATAAACTCAGACAAATGTGGACATTATCTTAAGTACAGCTTGAAAACGTTAAATATCAGAAAGATTGGCAGACTAAGTAGTGATAGAAGTGTTCGTTGGAGCGTCGTATAATTATTGTTTTTTTAACAGCAAACAAAATTTGAAGACGAGAATTTAAGTAATAGCGTTTCTTCCTCTTCCTGACGCGGCATGTTAACTGTTGTTTATTCGTGGTTTCACATTTGTATGATTAATGCTGTCATGTGGGAAAACTAAATAAATAAACTTTGAATTTGTTTCCAGGGGTGGAGGACAGCCAAAGCCTGGGATTCTCAGGCTACAGTGAGGAACAAATAGAGGAAGACGAACATGAAGATGAGGAGGAGGAGGAGGAGGAGGAGATGGCACAGCAGTGTTATGAAGCAGCACCACGGTTACAAGATACAGACGCACTGTAAGTGTACAGACACCGCTCTGTGTGTGCGTGTGCTGTTGTAACATTTGTGACTCATCTGCTGATCTTGAGGTTATTTTGTTCTTTTCCTTTTTTAGGCTCGTGCCTTCCACGGTTCAGACTGACAGACGGAGAGCAGACAGACCTTGGATCAGTGAAACGCAGAGTTTCGTGGACCTCAGGATCCGCATCCTGGACTCGATGATCGACGTGCTTTCAAAGAGGGGTGAGTGTGAGAAAGATGTAAATAAATAAACCATTACTGTTGCATCTTTAAGGGTTTGGATTTTACTCTGGATGTTTTCCCCCATATGATTTTAAACTGAGGACATGGAGTTTTATGGGCAATGTGACTGCTGCAGATACCTCATAATGTATTTCAGCTTATTTGGAGCATTTGTAAAATACAGCTAAAGCACAGGAATGAATAAAAAGTCACTTTTTGTGTTTTTAATCAAAGCCTGTGGGTGAAGCTTTTCCTGCAGTCTAGATAAAAACTTGTCTTTCCCTCTGCATCACAGTGTTTCAGAAGTACCCACTTCATGAGCTGCAGTGTCGTCGTGGCCTTCAGGAGGCCGACTTCCTGCATCTGCTTAGGACAACCTTCCCCCAGCTGGCTGCTGATGAACCTTTTGACGTTTTTATAACTGACAACACCAGAAAGCTGCAGCCTCTGAAAATAGACTTGTGGACTCCGGAGGCGATCGAGAGGACCATCAGGGCAAATGGGAATTCTGCCCTCTACATCCGCCTGAAGGTAAGGTGCCTAATGTGTGACGCCCTCGCTGGAGTTAACTTCCTGTAAACTATGTTCTTGACTTTGCTCGTTGCTCTGATGGTGTCTTTTGGAGAATGAATCATTCAAGCATAAAAAGGCTCAAACTCAAGGGATGAACCAGTGTTGTGTCTACACAGAACAGAGGACTTGGCGTAGAATCAGTTTTAAAATGGATCTGCAGGCAGTTTGGTTTCATTTCTTTAGTTTTATTAAATGAATCTATGAAAAATGCCAAAAGTAAAGCATTTTTGCACCAACAAGGTGATTCCTGAAGAGCTATTATGGTAGAAAAGTGTCATATCTCAGCATGGTGTGCAGTGAGATACAACAGTGAGCATCCACAGCCATCTGTAGAACACAGTGGAGGCTCTGTCATGATGTGGGGCTGCAATCCAGCCAGTCTAGTTGGGATCTTCTCATAAGGAAAGAATCGTGAACAGTCCTGCAGTCTGACTCGTTTTTGTGCCATTTTTCTAAAAAAAAACTGTCAAAACAAATTTATTTCAGAATCAGCAGAGTTTAGAAGCTGAAGAGGAGCTTCAGCCATTGCACGGAAATAAAGCTGCTGCTGAGCACATGAGGTACCTCAAGTATTCAAACGCTGCTGTAAATAACCAGTAAATATAGAGGACAAAAACAAACGGATACATCGTATATAAAAGGCTAAATTATTTGTTATAATGTTGTTTTTGACTTCTTTACTCTTTCAGGAAGAGGGTGGGCAGACCTGGGTTCAGGAAAACACAGACGCATGTAATGATCAGAATCCGCATCCTGGGTAAAATGAAGTCTGACGTGCTCTCAGCCAGAGGTGCGCCCAATAAAACCTCCAGTTTGGTGTCTCTTTGGACAAACTGTGTCTCTTTGTGACTGTGAAGTTAAATAATAATAGCCTGTCCATGTGTGTTCATTGTTTTTCAGTGTATCAGATGTGCCCGCTTCATGAGCTAATGTGCCCTCGGGGTCTACAGGAGGCTGACTTCATGGACCTGCTGAGGTCCACCTTCCCTCAGCTGATTGCCGATGAGCCTTTTGACCTCTTTGTGAGTGACAAAAGCAGAAAACTGAAGCCTCTGAAAGTACGGTCACTGACGACGGAGGAGGTGGAGAGGGCTACGAGGACTTCTACGCTCTACATCCGACTGAAGGTGCTGATTCACAAAGACCTTTGTCTGCTACTAAAAAAATCTTAGCAGACAAAGAAATAATCTGGTTTATTGTCTGTCTTTGTGTTTTCTGAGAATCCTGAGCATTTAAATAGGTTGTAAAACTCCACGTGTGACCAGTCAGGAGTGCCATTTGTACGGTGGCCCTGAGAGGCCAAACGGACTGCAACTTAAGAAAACACCAGCAATAAGAAAAGCGCTGCAAAAGCACACAAAACACACAGAAATAGAAAAAACAAAAACAGAAATAGGAAAAATCAAATTTCCAAAAGCACAAGGGAAGTGTTTCTGGGGAGACAATAACCTGACGGACCAGTTGCAGGAACCAAAATATGCTAAGAATTGCGCTGGGAGACACTTAAAAGAAGTGGAGGATCTATCGGTTTTGTGAGGAAAGAAAAGATGAGAGGTAAGTGTGTTAGCCTAACTATTAGCCTAAAAATCCATCATCAGTATTATATGAATCATGATAAAACACACCATAGCATGTTTTGGGTTCCTGCAACTGGTCCGTCGGGTTATTGTCTCCCCAGAAACACTTCCCTTGTGCTTTTGGAAATCTGTTTCTTCCTATTTGTGTTTTGTGTGTTTTTGCAACGTTTTTCTTATTGCTGGTGTTTTCATAACTTGAAGTCTGTTTGTCCTCTCAGGGGCACCGTACATTTGCATTTAACTACACAGACCAACAGTACACCACTAAATCTTTTCTTTCTTCTGTAGCCGTCGGAGGAGCTTCAAGCCTCAGCGAAACAGTTCCTGAGTGTAGGAGATGTTTTAGCTGAAACTCTTCCATTGACCCTAAAAACAACCAGAAAGAAACCCGGGTAAGTCAAAACCTGACTATAATAAATATTGTATTGTATAATAAATATTGGCTAGTCAGCCATAGCAAACAGATCTGTAAAAGCCTAATTTTAAGGTTTTGCATATCAAGACAGGATGAAAAACAAACTCAGTCAGGCTGTGGTCTGCACTTGACTCTGGTGACTGCAAAGTGGCCAAATCATCACCCCACTGTGCCGACTCTTGGTATGAGGTGTGTGTGAACTTTAACATGCTGGCTGAGGCCCTTGGAGTCTGAGATGGAGCTTTTTGGTTTCCTGTAGTTTCTCCGAGCATTGCACAGTCTGACCTTGTGGTGAATGTGCTGGGGCATTTACTCCTGTGAAGATCGGCAGCTGCTTTGAATGTTTCCACTGTAGAAAATGAAGCAGAATGATGGATGTTAGATTCTTTGATAACTATTTTTTCTCGCAGATAGAGTTTCTTCTCTTAACCCTTGTATGGTGTTCGGGTCTGTGAGACCCGTGTTCAGTTTTTTTCAAAAGAAAAATTAAACAATTAATTATTTTTTCACGTGTAAATGTGTTGTGTCTTTCCACTCACTCCACTTGATTATAACTGATTTATTTATAACATTTTATATAAAAGAAAAACGAGAAGCACATTAATTCATAAATGTGATCTAACAAAGGTAAAGGGAAAAAATTAACCATGTTTGCTGTTCATATGTCTTGTAATTGGGATGAAGTAAACATCTGTTGAGTAATTTAACATAAAATTGTTTGATAGTGTTAATTTGGAAAGCCAAAACTCTAGCGGGTCCACCAGACCCATGAACACTGGCTGAGTAACAAAAATACGAAGTGTTTCCAGCTGGGCGTCGTGTAGCTAGAGTCGAGTGTTTTAACTGATGCATGAAACGATACATTTTTAGTCATAAGTTGTAACGGGCGCCATTTTAGTATTATACACGGCGTGCTGCGGGGAAAAGCCTGTTCTAACGTTTGAGTCTAAGGTTTATTTTTAGCACCTGGCGGCTCTTTTTTGCTTCTCATCCGTAAACAATCTGCTCTTTCACGTGATTCAGTTTATTTTAAAAAGTCTCAACAGGATCTTGAGCTTTATTGTGATTCATCTCCTTTCCTTCTCCTTTTTCATCTTTGTGTGTTGTGTCTCAGAGTACAGTCTGCTAGGAGGAAACCTACCAAATCTGAGCTCAGTGACCCATTCACACATGTGGATTTCAGGGTCCGGATCCTGGAGGACCCTCTGATGGAGGTGCTCACACCCCAAGGTAAATTTAAAGCTTTTAGCTCTGAGGTCACATCTCCAGTTCCTGTATGAGGTGATAATAATAATAATAATAATGGATTTATATAGCGCTTTTTTTCAAAGCGATTTACAATGCCACTATTCATTCACTCTCACATTCACACACTGGTGGAGGCAGCTACAGTTGTAGCCACAGCTGCCCTGGGGCAGACTGACTGAAGCGAGGCTGCCATATCGCGCCATCGGCCCCTCTGGCCAACACCAGTAGGCGGTAGGTGAAGTGTCTTGCCCAAGGACACAACGACCAGGACAGAGAGCCTGGGGATCGAACCGGCGGCCTTCCGGTTACAGATGTGCTTCCCAACCCCCTGAGCCACGGTCGCCCCAACGACAGCTTGTGTCTC